ATGTAACTGTTTACAAAATGTTCCCTAGTCATATGTTTACTGTAAGTGTAGTTGTAAAAGTATTTGTTTGTTGTTCACCGTATTATTGATCTCTCTCCTAAAGAATAGCTAACTTTATATTGTATTTAATCCGATTTCCCGCCTGGTATTTTAGCATACAGACTTTTAGGTATTGCTTTTGCTATAGTAATATTATGCTTCTGTAAACTAATTAGTGGTAAAAATAAATGAAGAAATCTTCGACAGTTTTCCACGATTTTATGTAAAGATAAATTCATGCAGAAAAATAATTTATTTTTGCCTAAGTACTACTATTACTACTTATATTAAAGGGAATACTAACTATTATTTTTTTCATGAAACCTATACAGACCTGGCATATAAATCTGGTATATAACTGAATTATTTAATATTGTATTTAGTTCTATAAAGACTAAGATTTGTGATTTTAAAGTAGTAACGTCAACCAGTGAGGGGTGTTAATGCTTTAAATATACATTATATACATTTCCTTAGCTTCAATTAAATATATATTTCATAGTTGCATTGCTCTAGTTGCCAGAGACGCCTCTAGGCAGTCATAGAATTCGTAGCTTGTGACCGCACCGAAGTTCCAAGCGGACGCGTAGCATGCTGTAACTTTGCGAATGTTATACCTAGTTTGGAGATAAACCACTAAATATTGCCCAGCTAAGAGAGTTTAAACGTTATTTTGTTGATTATTATGGATCTGATTGTGATTGTTTATCTCATTCAGTACAAAATTTAACAGAAAAGTATAATTTCATTTGTTCTAAAGGTATTAAGCGTATACTTGCGAATACTCATTTCAATTGAAACAAATGCAAAAACCGAACTACACTCATCAATAGAATCTAAGAACATTGATATACATTATCGTTATGAAATGTATAATTTTATTCAAAGGGGAGGTCGGCTTCAGTTACTAATTTATTAAATTAAATGAACAATAAATGTACTCAAAAAATATTTTATATATAGTAATTATGTAATTAGATAGAGACTTATTTGTTTATAGTTAGTGTATTTTATAGTTTTATGATGTGAAATTGTTAATGTTACTATTGATGTATGAATATGTCTGAGATGGAAATATTTTTTGTGTACATTTATTAAATTGGTTATTATCAACAAAAATGTTGTATTAAAAAAAATTCAACATCAGTCAAAAGTTAAAAAAAGTTCATGTTGCTTCGACTTTCTTGATGAGTATATTAAGTTTCTTTCATGGGAGCGATGATCAGTCCCGCAAGATCCACCCTCGAAGTGATATATTACTTTTCCATAAAGATGCTATAGATTGCTTTAATATTTGGAAAGAAATAGACAGTACACTTAAATAAGATCAAATAGTGATGTCATATTTGACACTTTTAGACCCAATCATCTCATCGCTTGTCTAGACACATTAATGATTCCAGTTCATCGCCTACAGTGATTTTTAAAATCGCTAAATGATTGATATAAGTATATATAAATGTATATCTAATATATATATAATATAAGATGTATATTATTAAAAGCGCCCGTCGTCCCAATTTTGTTCATATTTCTACACCACTTAGTGGCAAAACTTGTTTTTGTTTCAGTGATTATCTTTTCTTTGCTTTTATAGGAAATTATTTATTTTTACAGTTTGTATCCTATTTTCCTTAAACTATTTCTACTTCCTTTGTACTATGTTACATTTATTTTTCCTGTTATTTCTTCATTACTTCTAGATCTATTAATAACCATTCTTTCAAAGTCATCATCATATTACGAAACACAAGATTCTGCACGTAAACGTTTTACATTAAACGTACATGTACGATAGAAGTGTAAGTAAAAGGGCTTTTCGAGTTTTATCAGCGAACGCGGCGCGATCCTTTATAGAACATTATTTTCACGGTGTCATCTCATTATGGTTATTATGACGGAGGAATAACGACGCTAATTATGCCCACGCTCAATTTCGTTCCTGACGCCCGCCCCGCGTCGCACCAACGCGACACACAGGTGTACTTGACTAACCGCGTCATTTGTTTGTTCTTGTTTTATTGTTTCCATTATTCATAATTAGGTTCACCACTTTCAGATAAAAACTTATTACTTACCTACCTTTAGATTCATCGTACAATTTTTATAAAAACTTACATGTATGTCGCAGTTTTGCCAGGTAAAACAAATGTAGCTGGCGGCTATTAAGTATTTCTCTAATTTGAAGTGGACAAGTAGCTACTGTCGCTTCGCAGGATCGTCGTAAAATAAATAGCGATAAGTCCACGATTTTTTTACCTGAAGTTATCGAACGAACTCAGTAAAAATTACTTAAACCGCCGTATCATTTTGTACCATGTCATTGCCAGCTCTCACAATGCCAGTTAAACAAACAAACGAATTTTCGAAAGGGATTAAACGCAGAAGTGAAAAAAATGTCATAATTGCCTGACCCGACCCTTATGTGACATGTTCATGTTTTAAAATAATCTGGTCAACAATTTTATCCCCGGAAGATGCTACAGAAGAAAAATAATACCACTTGGAGGAGTACGTGTTTTCAAAATAGGTTAGTGAAGTTCGTATGAAAACTTTTTCATTACATTACAGCTTATGACGGACATTCTGAAAAAAAGTAAATTCACAATACCAGCCATAGTATTTTTTTTTACATATTAGTGCACCCTTTAAATGTTCAATCAAATATCACCCATACAATCATTAAAACTTACTTACACAGCTTGAGTTTGCTTTTCACAGATTAATACCCAGGACTCTCGTTATTGGGCGGCAGCAAATTGTTTGATTTGCATATCAGCTATCAATTATCTCGAATAATTTGTTTGTTCAAAGCTTATATTTAAACATGATTTAATTGTTTATTTGATTCAAAGTCATGCGGTGTGATTTAGTGTTAATTTTAATGAACGAATGATCATGAAATAATTGACGTTAAATAATTATGTTCTGTCCATTCATTCAAAACCATTTAAATGACTGTAATAAAACAACTTTTTGCACCCAAGTGAAACAAAAAGTCTAATAACAATCAGCTTTATTAAATTTAAGGAATCAGCTATCCAAAATGAATTCCGATTTGTACTTATTAGAAAGGCAAGTTCGATTAATCATATTATAAGGGGGGCAACCTTGCACCTTGTGAAGTACTACTTTCTTCGTCTTTTTGCTGCCCATGACGTTTGACTCTTTATAAAGGGCTCAGGTACTTCACAAGGTGCAAGGTTGCTCCCCTTATGTTATTCCGCCGCACTCGAGTCAATCCCAAAATCTCTGTTTGGGCTTCTCTACTACATTGATTTAAAATCTATTGAGTGCTCTTCAGGCTTGCAAATTGAAAGGCCGTGCTACTAAAATGATTCATTGTTATATTATTTTTAGCTTCATAAAAATAATTAAATATCCGTATCTCTCTACCAGGAAAACAAAAAGCTTATTCAATTACTTTGCCATTATACTAAGCGTCTTCTGTTACTCTGGTCATAAGGTTGATATTGCAGTGCATCCACTTAACGGTAATGTAATGTTAATGTTTAATCCAAGTGCTTCAGCAAAATACAAGCAAACGACAATAGAAATCTAGATGGCAAAATTCATGATGTCCTTGACATCTAAGTACATCTTTGTTAATAAAAGATGTACTGAAATGTTTTCTTTCCATTTTCTTTTGCTATCCATTTGTGTTATTCATTACTATTAGGTGTGCTTATAATGTGGGCTTTTACTTTATCAAGTGTTTTTAAAATCGATTAAGATCTTCAATAATAATTCATTTTCTCATTATGGAGTTATCGCGGTACAATGTGTTTTCCACCACCGGGCTGGTATAAAACGCCATAAAATTGTAAATACAATTAGTGGATGTAAACAACTGTATTTCCTTAATTAAAGTTTTAACCATGTCTCTTGGTGCAATGCCATGCCAGACTAAATGAAGGAACAGAAAGGGCTCTTGAAAGGTAAAGATTGACGTGTTACCGAAGGGAAAATGTATTTTGGTTAACAACAAATTCTTGTATGGCCAATCATAGTAGATATTTTTTTATTCATTCCGGAAATTTTTAGAGCGCCTCACGCATCATCCTTTTACACACGTTTATTTTTCCAAAACGATGGCTACGGTCAAGTTTTTTGTAAATCCTAAAATAATACTAAATATAGGACAAGGAAAATGTGAGAAAGATTATATAAAATATTGGGGACGAATAGGTTTAATTTCAACTTGTGCAATTGCATGCATAGCAGAGTGTGTGGACCGTGTCAAATCACTAAAAGAACTTATTTACTGTTTTTTAAAGCAATATGCTATTATAAAGTTTTACTTTTATATCAAATTCACTCGAATTTCGCTGTAGGATATATGATGATTAATGTATGAATCCAAAAAAGACGAAGTGCGAAAAGATGCGGCAAATTTTAATAAAATTTAGGACAAATGAATATTGTACAAAACATTTTATGGCCGTTATTTTGTATTTGTATTACAACCCGGATAAATAAAACAAATATATTGAAATGTTCCCCAAAAAAATCTTTATGAATAGATTCGCTAGAATCTCATTCCGAGAATGAGCCATAACAAAGGCTCAGCCCATTATGTAATTGATAGTTGCCCACCACTGCAGATGCAGCCAAGACTAAATGCAAAAAAAAATTGGCTACGTCTATATGACGTTAGGTTATCAAATTGTTTATGTCCTGATTAAACTACCAATAACAATGATTTCATTTTAAATACAAGCATGACAACGCGTTTGCAAGGAGGCGTCATTTTCTTATGCTCTCGTACCTACTAGTAGTATATTTGGGTTGGGAATTGGGATACAGTTTTTGGTTATCCATTTGATGACTGGCCACGGAGAAAGTTGTTACTCCTCAATCGCCCAACAAGCGCCAGTCACAAAAACTTCGCACTTCTCCTCTATGAATTTATCCTAAATTTAGGTTGTACTGGATATGGTTTCATGATTTGCACGTTTCAGGCATTAAAAGACATTCGGATCAAAGCTGCTCAAGACGAGAAAGATAATCGGAGCGCAGTTGTTCTTCAAAGGACGCTCTGGTTCGCCGGAGTCGCCAGGAATGCCGTTGTGGTGGTTGTGGCCGCTGTGTTGGCATTCTTCATTCATCAGGACAGAAACGATCCGTTAATATTAACTGGTGAGTAGATTATACATTATTTTATAATCAAAAGGATGATGGGCAAAAATGTATGGAACTTGGTATCCGTTCCAATAGAGATGTGCTACATATCATTTGAAAGGTCTACTTCTGTCTACCTGCCTAAATACGGGCGGGAGAGGAGATGGCATCCCGCATTCAACTCTGTACTTGATTCAGTGACTCGATTTCCCTTTTTGGTTATGTAATAATAAATAATGGTAATAACGGTTCCTGCAAAAATGGTTCTGGTATTTTCTGGAAAAACTAAAAACGGACAACAAATATCAGAATGGCGCCATAGTAACTAATATTCTACATGAAAAGAGGTATTCAATGATATATCACTCATCGCTATTGATACCAAACACCAATTGGATACCAAAATGCCCGTCCTCCTTTACTAAATGTATTAGGTATTCCTCTATTCCTAATCATATTTTCTTTAACTGGGACCGAATCCAAAAAAAAACAATAAAATTATGCACATTTGAATCGGGTTGTTATTAATATATCAGCAAAACGTGTGGTTTTCATTTTATTCAATGCATGCTCAGTAGAATACGTTTACTAATGTCATTATTTAGTTTTGATTACGGAGAGCACAATAAAATAAAAATAAAGGATAAACATGAATAAAAACTATTATAAACTTCATATCCAACCGTATTCTTTCTTCTTTCAGTTCCTTAGAGCAGAATCATTATTCCACGCCAACGAAGCCAATAAAATTGTAGTATGATCATTAAACGGAATTTATGCTACTATGTGCACGCTGCTTAGAGCGAGGCACGCTGCGATCGTTCCAATGCGTCTCCGATCTCTACAGATGCAAAATTTAGTCCAACGTTTATGAACATCGTATCGTATCAAATTTATACCAATACAATTTTTATTTAATTATACTTTATTGCACAAATGTGTGTACAAGTGGCGGACTTAATGCCATTAGGCATTCTCTACCAGTCAACCGGAGAATTTTAGCAAAAATCTTAAAAAGAATTCATCAAATTACTTATTGGAACGAAAGTTCCTTACGGCAGGCTTGGAGGGGATAGGGATTTTGCTGCGCGACCGAACTGAAAAAAATGTGATAGTAAAACCGTAAGAAAAAATGCGTGGAATAAAACCATTAAATGAGACGTGCGCAGGCGCGACGAAGTTCCTTACGGCAGGCTTGGAGGCGATAGGGATTTTGCTGCGCGACGGAACTGAAAAAAATGTGATAGTAAAACCGTAAGAAAAAATGCGTGGAATAAAACCATTAAATGAGACGTGCGCATAGGGGGTGGTATAGCGACGAGGGTGCATCACTGAAATATTGTGATATTACACCAACACTGAATATGTGTGAAGTTATAGGGGGTGGTAGAGCGACGAGGGTGCATCACTGAAATATTGTGATATTACACCAACACTGAATATGTGTGAAGTTATAGGGGGTGGTAGAGCGACGAGGGTGCATCACTGAAATATTGTGATACTACACCAACAGTGAATATGTGTGAAGTTATAGGGGGTGGTAGAGCGACGAGGGTGCATCACTGAAATATTGTGATATTACACCAACAGTGAATATGTGTGAAGTTATAGGGGGTGGTAGAGCGACGAGGGTGCATCACTGAAATATTGTGATATTACACCAACACTGGATATTTGTGAAGTTATATCAAGCTGTGGACCAGTAACGCCTGTGAGACATGATTATGATTACAAGGTGAGTACTTATCAGGAGGTGGTAGAGCGACGGGGGTGCATCACTGGATTATTGTGACATTGTAGTTTATTCTAAACTGTGGGCCAGTCCTGCCTAGCATCCTTTACGAACGCTAGCGGGACATGATAATAAGGTGCGTATGTAGGGGGTGGCACAGCTACGAGGGTGCAGCACTGGAATATTGTGACATTACACGAAATCTGGATATTTGTGACGTTATACCGAACTGTGGACCAGGAATGCCTATCATCTGCTGTAAACTTAAGCTAGACATGATAACAAGGTCAGTACTTAACAGGGGATGACAGAGCGACGGGGGTGCAACCCCAAATTATTGTGGCATTATACCAACACTGGATTATTGTCGTATATTATACTAAACTGTTCTTAAGTCCAGGGGGTGGCAGAGCGACGGGGCTGCATTACTGGATTATTGTGACATTGTAGTTTATTATAATCTGTCGGCCAGTCCTGCCTAGCAATCTTTACGAACACTAGCTGACCGAACTGAAAAAAATGTGAAAATGTGATAGTAAAACCGTAAGAAAAAATCCGTAGAAAAAAGTGCGTGGAATAAAACCGTTAAATGAGACGTGCGCAGGCGCGACGAAGTTCCTTACGGCAGGCTTGGAGGGGATAGGGATTTTGCTGCGCGACCGAAATGAAAAAAATGTGATAGTAAAACCGTAAGAAAAAATCCGTGGAAAAAAGTGCGTGGAATAAAACCGTTAAATGAGACGTGCGCAGGCGCGACAGTCGCATACACATGCGAGTTTGCAATTTGTGTCGATTCTACATTAGCCGAAGGAACTTCGTTCCTACCTGGTGTCCCACGACACTACATAAAATACATATCTATAAACATACATAAGTAATCATATATATATATAAATAACACTAAATATTTAGATATATATATACAAATCTATATCATATCAGGAGGATGCGGAGGAGGAATCTAATAAATAATGACGTACGGAGCGTTTAAAAGCCAGTTTATTCGGAGCATCTTGAATATGAGGAGGCAGTGCGTTCCAGGGTCGTATAGCTTGAAGAGAAAATGAGTTGGAAACAAAACCAGTATGTTGAGAGGGAAAAGCTAGTTTGTTTGCTGCTAGACCGAAGATTATTACAGATTATGGATACTACCAAGGTATCGAAATTTACATTTCAAATATCCAGGAGTACATGGATCATTAATGATTGAATATAGGGTAGGAAGAATTCTGAGATTTCGACGTTGGCGAATTGTTAACCAATTTAACTTCTTCCAAAAGGCAGAAACGTGATCGTATTTACGGAGACAATCATTTTGTTTATAAACACCGCAAACATTATATTCACCAATTCAGAATCGGACGAATAACAACTGCTTAGACGCAGGAATATAATTGAGAGACAGGAAAAAAGAAAGAATTAAAATTCTATTAACAACTCTTTGTAGAATTACGTTGATGGGCGGCATTCCTTTTTCGTCTCGAATTTATGAAAGGGGAGAAAAACAATTGCTTAATTTGCATCGCCTGAGGGAGTTCAGTAGAACTCGCCGGCTCTTGAGAAGTTAAATTAGTATTGTTCCAAAAATTATTTCTACCGTGTACCAGGTAACATAACGCCGGGTCTGCCGACGCCCGAAGCGCTGACGTTTTCGACGAATGTAGGGAATATTATAAACTTCAGTACTTCCGATATGTTTTCGTATCTCGGCTCAGGGCTATTAGTTACGTAGCAACTATTACAATCGGCCAAAATCCCAATTCAGTTTTCAATCAGAATTGACTAGGTTCTGCTTTAATTTCGTACTATGCCCTCCAAAACTAAAACCTAAACTGAGTCGATCGGAAAGGGAATAAACGGAATGGATGATAGTCACAGATTAAGTACTAGTCGATAAAAGTCTGCTAATGAACATATAACATATACATGTATAGAATAGTTTTTTTGTATTCAATAGTTTTTTTTAATTTATTCTAACCATGGATACAAGTCCTTCAGTGGCACAAGGGTTCCGTACCCATTCTCTATACGACATACGACACTATATGATAATATCGAGCAAAAACGGCAAAAAATCACTTCAGCAGTGCTATTCTGTTCACTTCGGATCCGCGAGGGAAAATTTTACAGAATAGCACTGTTGTTGTATCGTGGCCCTCCTTATTTTTTTATTATTTTTTTGTTCTTTTTATTTTATTTGTTGTTTTAGCGGCAACAAAAATACATACTCTGTCTGTGAAAATTTGAACTGTCTAGTTAGCATGATTCATAAGATACCGGCTGGTGACAGACATATGAACAGTGGAGCCTTAGTAATAGGGACAAGTTTTTACCCTTTGGGTACGGAACCCACAATTAATAACATTTTTTTAATTTGTTATCTTATAACTTTTCTTTAATTTCTTTTTGTTTTTTTCCATCGTATTCCAGGTAATATAACACCGGGTTTGCCGACGCCCAACGCGCCGCCGTTTTCGACGAGTGTGGGGAATACTACTTTCGGTGCGGGCGATATGTTCTCGCATCTCGGCTCAGGACTATTGGTCGTGCCCATCGTTGGGATCATTTCCAACGTAGCTATTGCTAAGGCGTTCGGTGAGTTAATATCAAATTATTTGTATGTTTTAGGAGGGAAATTAGAGAAAGCATTACTGCAGGATGACAAATTTTAATGGTAGACATTTTTTATGACATTTACAAATAGGTAAGCCACGAATAATATTGACCAGAACTAAATTAAGTGCTACATCTAAATTATATTAATATATTTAACCACTCCTAGATTTTGAAATTACTCTCTAGAGCAATGAAAACGGTGCGGTTAAAAAGTCAAAATGTTCTATAGTAAAATATTTTTTCTGAAAATTATGAGAAACTAAAGCGTTTGGAAGAAGGCATCATTTTCTTATGCTCTCGTACCTACTAGTAGTATATTTGGGTTGGGAATCGGGATACAGTTTTTGGTTGGCGTTGTTTGATTCTTTTCCTGTATGGGATTATTGGCCACGAACTTTCATACTTACATATACTACTATACTAAATTTTACACATTCTAGTATTTTAACTATATTCACATTTAATTATGTATCAAACAAAGCGGCTTTAGCCGGTTTATAAAATAGCGATAATCCGTATTTAATACTCGCGACGTTTCTCAAACTTTTTTAAATTTCGCATTTCCATGTCTTACAGACAATACTTAGAAAAAAAGTAAGTTTAAGGAAAGCTTCCTTATATAGTGCTAGAGATGGTGCTGCGGTCTGCGGTCGTAAAATTTAAGCAAATTTCCAATGGCCGGTCTTTGTATGGATGACCAAAAATATATTATCTCGAGCTCCTCCGTACTTTGGAAGGCAAGTTAATCCGTTAGTCCAGGGTTGCATCTGTTATCGTTAGCACCCACCAATCCGCACGGGGTCATGGCCCATTCTCTCTATTCTATCTATCCATAGGTAATTCTATCCATAGGGAAGGCCTGTGCCCCAACATGGGGACATTAGTAGGCTGATGATCATAGTAAGAGTATTATTTAGTTCCGTTTTCATTGTAAAAATTAGCGGGGCAACAGTTCATTCAAATTTTGATAAAGAACAGTGAGAATAATGGTGGAAAAAATAGGTTTACAGTCATATTTCTATGTAGTGTAGTGTATGGGGGACAAAGCCGAGCGAGGGGGACAAAGCCAAGCGCGTCCGTGGGCTTTAGCTCTAGATACCCACACGTGTCCCCTGGGTAGCGCCAAATGCTCGGCACATCACCGGTGGATAGGTTTCGACCGTAGCTGGTAACCACCCTCCAGGCAAAACCGAACCGCCAAGCGACTCTCATCGTGTTCCGGCTCGATGCCTGGTGTTGCCGTTTTGGGGGGGGGGGGAGTCCGAGCAGTTGCGATGTAGAGCTTGCCGGCTTCGGTGCTGCGTGATTGCTGCACTGGGTGGCTGATCGCGGAGGGTAGCGGGATCCTAAGCTGCCCCGCCAACTCGCGAAAAATCCCAGGGTGCGCCATCGTGCCGGTTGGCGACCGGATGCGAGGGCCCGATGGACACCTTTGGGGGGGTTAGGGCGTCCCCGCGCGCTCCAGCTTAGTCACCCGTCAGTGTGGCGTCATAACTGCATCGCTTGGCAGTAGCTTAGCAGAGTCTTGCTCATCTGTCCCCTTCCTGCCTGTTCACTCTCTTCTTAAAATTATGAAAGCTAAAAGAAAGAAACTGGCGAAACAGCGGATGCACTCCCTCGCACTAAAAGTGTACCTTGCTAACATCCGAGGTTTGCACTCAAATATCGAAAGTGTCCATCACCACCTTGAGACTGATAAGCCACATCTGCTGTTCCTCACGGAGACTCAAATAAGATGCCCGACTGACGCAGCTTACTTGCATTACCCAGGTTACATCCTGGAGCACAATTTTAAATCGCGCGCTGGCACCTGCGTGTATGCTCGTGATGACATCTGCTGCCAACGTCTCCGCAACCTTGAGGATCCCAGTTTCTCTACATTATGGGTGCTGGTGAACACAGGTATAGAGCAAATACTCTATGCCAGTGTTTATCGGTCGCACACAGAGAACATGGAGACAACCAGGTTTTTTCAGTACCTCAGCGCCTCCACTGAAACAGCCCAGCAAAGGTACCCGAGTGCGCAGCTAGTCGTTCTGGGGGACTTTAACGCACACCACCATGAGTGGTTGTTCCCGTTCCAGAAAACCGACCATGCCGGGAGATTGGCGCACACATTTGCTATGTCGCTAGGTCTCTCCCAACTTGTGAAGGGCGCTACACGTGTACCCGATATTGATGGCCACACACCGAACTGCCTGGACCTTCTGCTGTCAACAGACCCGGACCGTTATCAGGTGGTAATTTCGTCTCCACTAGGGAGTTCCGACCACTGTCTGGTGAAGTCCGTATCAGTTTACTCTCCAAACGACCCGGAACATATCGGAACTAGGCGTGTATGGCGATATGGTTCAGCAGACTGGGATGAGATGCGCCATTTCTTTGCATCTTATCCTTGGCGTCGCACTTGCTTTTCTTCGGACGACCCGACTTGCTGCGCGGATGCCATTACTGACGTGATGCGTCAGGCTATGGAATACTTTATTCCATATTCTGACGTACCACGCCGGTTTGGCGACCGCCCTTGGTTTGACGCGGACTGTGCTAAAGCGGAGGCGCTTAAGCATTTTGCGTATCGCTCCTGGGCGGATGCTCGAGCTCGCAAAGCACCAAATGTTCGAAGTCTGAAGAAAGCCTTTAACAGTGCCGCCAAGTCTGTAAAGGTGTTCTCCGCAAGGCCCGTTTCGATCACATTGGCCGTATAGGAGCCAAATTAGCCTCCTTTCCATCCGGAAGCAAGGCTTTCTGGTCCCTAGCCAAGACAGTCGAAGCCAATTTTTGCCGATCGTCGCTGCCGCCTTTAATTAAGCCTGACGGATCGCTGGCTCACACCTCCAAAGAGAAGGCTGACTTGTTTGCCTCAATATTTGCGAACAACTCACAACTAGATGCTGCTGGCGTAAACCCACCTAAGCTTCCTCAGTGTTCTTCTGCCATGTTGGAAGTTTGCATTCATCAGAAAGAGGTACTCAAAACGCTAAGCACTCTAGACGTGAATAAAGCCAGTGGGCCCGATGGCATTCCAGCTATTGTCCTGCGGAATTGTGCCCCTGAGTTGTCTCCTATTCTGACTCGCCTGTACCGCTTATCCCTTGTGATGTCCAACCAGTACCCAAAAAGGGTAGTCGTGCCGACCCTGCCAACTATCGACCTATTGCAATCACCTCCATACTCTGTAAGATTATGGAGCGTGTATTGAACAACCGTCTCCTCGCTTACCTCGAAGATAACGATCTCCTCAGTGACTGCCAATTCGGTTTCCGCCGTGGGCGATCTACTGGGGATCTTCTTGTTTATGCTACCCACTTATGGAGTGAAGCCATAGAGAAACGCGGCGAAGCTCTCGTCGTTTCTCTTGATATTTCTAAGGCTTTTGACAGGGTCTGGCATGCAAGTCTCATTGGCAAGCTTCCTTCATATGGAATCGCTGTCGGACTTTGCAACTGGATTGCAGATTTTCTGGGGGGCAGACCGATACGAGTGGTCATTAATGGCACATGGTCGGATCTGCTTGGTATTAATGCTGGTGTCCCCCAGGGATTTGTCCTCTCCGCAACTCTATTCTTGCTGCACATCATGATCTGCTCCTAACCCCCGGTATCTTTGGGTATGCAGACGACAGCACAGTTTCGGAGAGATATCTGCCGGATGTGAAGTCTGATGCAGATGTCCGATCATTAAGGGAGGCGATGGTGGAGGGAGTGAATGCAGCCCTGGAAGCTGTTTCCCTCTGGGGTGAAGCCAACTTGGTTGGATTTAATCCCTCAAAAACACAGGCCCTTCTCTTCTCGATGAAACGGAGTCCATTCCATCTGACTCCGACTTTCCGAAATGTCTCCGTGCCGGTTAAAGACCATCTCGAGCTCTTGGGTATGGACATCTCATCCAGCTTCAATTTCGGTCGCTACATCGAGTCCATTGCTAAAACCGCTGCCAGAAAACTTGGAGTACTTTCTAAGGTCAGGCGATATTTTACATCTGAGCAGCTCCTTAACCTTTACCGAGCCCAAGTTCGCTCCTGCTTGGAGTACTGTTGTCACCTTTGGGACGGATCTGCTCGGTATCAGCTGGATGCACTGGACTCGGTGGAACACCGTGCGAAGAGACTCATAGGCAATGACGCTCTCGTTGAGGCTAATCTCCAGAGCCTTGACCAGCGAAGACGTGTAGCTTGCCTCTCGGTGTTTTATCGGTTACATTTCGGAGAGTGTGCGGAGGTATTACATAATTTGATCCCCCCTTCCCCTTTCCACCACCGGACGACCAGGCGCGGCGAGGGCTTCCACCCTTATGTTGTCGAAGTTCCTCCCATTCGCACGCACGATTTGCTTCGGCCTTCATTATGCGAACGGCTAGGGAGTGGAACTCCTTGCCGAGGTCTGTTTTCCCGGACCAATATAATCTGGACATCTTCAAGGCCAGAGTGAACAGGCATCTTCTAGGCAGGCGTGTACCATCCTAGGCCTCATCATCACTTTCCATCAGGTGAGATTATGGTCAAATGCATTGCCTATTTTGCATAAAAAAAAAAATAGTGATCCATTTTGCAACACAGTATGGTATTTTCCAACAACATATTGTTTGCAACTCAGCTTTAATTACTATAAACAAATATTTACTTTGAAAAAGGGGCTTAACATTTTCAATTAATATCCCGTATTTATACGGGTTCTACTTACAAATAAACCAATGCTATAATGAGGTAGAAAAACAAATATCCTGAAACTGAAAAGTCTATAATAACAATCTAAAACAAATATTTCATCATGTTAATACAAGATACGAGTATACAACCGAAACGTGGGTAATTATTTTCCTTTTGCGCAATGAAAATTATTTCAAAAACCATTAGTTCGCTCCATTTGTGTGGCGAGGCAATTTATTAAGAATCCATAAATTACGAGATTTATACTTTTATATATATGACGGTCATTAGTGTCCAAACGCTTTTTAAGACCTAACCAGTGAATTTAACGTGGGATGCCGAATATAACGTTAAATGGATCCCGCCTACTGATTAATGATCCGATCACAGAATCCCTGAGATATTTTATCATTACTCTCCGACATAACGATACCTGGCCTTCACCTTAATTGTAGTTTTTTTAATACGGTTTCGTAGAAAGGTAAATTGATTCCCTTTCTTGTTAGCACAATTCATGTTTGCGTTTCTTTTGCCATTTTCCCTTGTCATTGTGGTTCTATACATTTAAAATATAATCAATATTGTATCATTTGTAAGTATATATCTATCAAATAAATTGCCAATTTCATTTGACCCTTACTATTACCCAATTATGTACATTTAATTATTTCATAAATAATTAAATGGAAATGGTCGATGGATTTCCCTGTATATATATATTTAGCTGTGCCCCCTCGGGGCTACCCGTCGTTTATTGGGGATATTTTCCCGCAGTAAAACGTAGCCTATGTGTTAATCCAGGGTGTCAGCTAACTCCATATTTAATTTTGTTAAAATCGCTTTAGCCGTTTAGACGTGAAGAAGTAACAAACATACATACTCACACACTCACAAACTTAGCCTTTATAATATTAGTGTGATTGCAAAATACTTATGAAACATGAATGCAATAAAAAACATTACAATATTACACTTGTGTAGCTCTATGGCGCGGGTGGTTAGCGCGTTCGGCTGCGATCGTTGAAGTTAAGCAACTTTCGCAGTGGTCGGTCATTGGATGGGTCATCAATGGGTCAGTTGGTCCCGGCTGCATTTGCAGTCGTTAGCACCCGCCAATCCGCACTGGGCCCGCGTGGTGGGTCATGGCCCAATCTCCCTATTCCATCCAGAGACAGACAACAGAGGCCTTCCCTATGGAAGGCCTCTGTTCCAGCAGTGGGGACATTAATAGGCTGATGATGATGATTACACTTGGGGACAGTCGTGTTATGAAAGATTACCCATTTCCTCGTCTCCCGTTCTTCACCGTTTCCTTCTGGGGAAGTAGCCCTCACCATTCAAATAACTACTGTGAAATAACCTTTTCAAGGCGTTATGTTTCTGTCTGTAAGGTTCCATGGCTGTTTCATTCTGGGTTAGGGGATCGCGTGGTAGGCAAATCGCAAGCGTCGATAAACCGAATGAAATAAAAAATATGAAACAAAATATTTGAGTTTGCACAGTTGGTGTACTGAGTCTATTCAACCGTTATATCGTGGATACAGACAAACATTGCCATCACAATATTGGTAAAAAGTAAAATATTATGAGTTCACTAAACAAAGTTACCGAGAAAATTAAGTTTCCTCCTATAAATATAACTGCTAAAGTTACTGTTTATTGGGGAATCATTAACGCCCGTCGCCGCGTCGTCACAGAACCATGCAAAGTTTTACAACTGTCCATTAAAACGTTAAACAAGCAGAACGGCTGTTAAACCGAGCGTTAACAATTTGACAAAGTTGATAATTGTATATATTCCAGAGTAGGCTTTGTTTAAGCCTACTCTGGAGATGCGGAGATGCGACTCGAGAGATTATTGAACTTTTGTAACATTTATTGTGAAGTACTTAACCTACTAACTTTCATCATGTATTGTTTTCCGTGCGTGGAACCACATAAGATTTTCGTATATTGTGGTTTTTTCCAATAGTAATGATTAAAATACTTTTCTAGGTATTTACTTAATTCCTAATGAAGCTTTCTTTCAAATACAAAGAGTGTAGTTGTTGTCAGATAAAGTAAAATGATCATTTTTATTCAATCGCCCAGATGTTATATCTATATTATAGTATTAAGGTGATTCTGTTACTTTTTTGCTATAATCATATAGGACAGCATGTGATTTAAGTAAGCAATTTATTTTAATTGAAGTCTCTTAGTATGGCCACATAACTTCTTACATTTAACTTAACATGTTTTTCCTGAACGACACGTATGATGAGAGATAGGTATATTATTAAGTTTCATTTAATGAAGTACCTATGTGAAAAAGTAAGAAATAGACTTATATTTTATGTTTAAATGTGCAAGCTCAGGTACAAGTAACCTATTAGAAGTTTTTTTTTGTAATAGGTAATCATTTTCTTTAGATTTAATAATCTAGAAGTTAAATGCTTACCAAATAATAAACCATTTACTAACTTATACTCCAATATTGGAAACCTTGCTGTATTATGTAGGCAATGTAACTGATGCTTCTATAGATTTTAACAGCAAACGGTCGGTTTGAAATAATTATACTCCGGTATTACTAGCAGCACTAGACAGACTGCAGTCCGATTACAGTCAGTGTTCAATTGTCAGTATGGGTGGTTGGCAGTTTCATTGCAATCGTGCAAACTATATTCAAACTGAAATTTGGCAGTCGGAATGCTGTTAAAATGCAATCCGTCTGCCTAGACTGTAGAGCCATACAACTAGTAGAGAGTATTTGGAATTTTGTTGCCCAGATGTTTTCATTATTTAGATTAAAATAACAACTGTGGCTTAAAACAAAACCAGAATGAGCTTACCTCTTCCTGGAGGTTGATTATTAAAACTAGGTAATAGAGGTTAATCATAATAAATAAAGAAGTAGTAAACACTTCATTTCATTCATTCGCATCGAACAGCTCGTTCATACAAAGTTCAGTTGGACGTATGACATGATTTAACAAAGTCGATAACTGGGTCGATTTCGGTGCCGCCAGCGTAGAACGTAAAGCGTTGGCCCTGGTCCAAGATTTTATGCATCGGTTATGTTGCGTGCATTTTTCCCCATTCTCTCGCTCGTTTTATAACTCAAATTAATGATGAGCACGTAACAAAGCGACAACTCTTTACAAATATTTTAATGCGACCTAGAACTGATAAAATATTACTTAATAATCTTACTATTGATGTGAAACATTTATTGTGCCGCTTGAGCGAAGAAAGCTGATGTACTTAAATTAAAACGATTTAAGAAACTTTATTTTACTTTAACAGACATAATTTTTCTTTCCAAAAATAGTTTCGGCTTCTTATATCATCAGTAATTTATAATTTGTGCGAAAGTATATTTTTATTCAGATTTTGAATGAGAAACAGAAACTTTCCGAGCTTGTGAGCAGCAATAGAGTAACACGTCCAACGCGGCTGTGTGAGCTGAAGAAAACTATTTGGGTACAATTTAAACTGCATGTTAAACGGCCATGCAAGAAGCATATATAATCGTATTGCGTACATTTTGCGCAGGTATACCAAATTAGAACATTGCACATATCATCATCATCAACAACATAATAATGCCCCCATTTGGGGCACATACCTTACCTATTGAAGGTATACAAAGCTTAGGCTATGACCACACACAGCCGTGATATCCGAAGCACGGATAATAATAAATGCGCTAATGATTATAATCTTTAGTCATCTAATCATTCTATAAGGATGGTTGCTTAAATACCGCGATCACAATAAATATTTATGTGTTTTTTTAGCCAGAGGCAGAACTTTGGATGCGACTCAAGAGATCGTGGCTCTAGGCGTGTGCAATGTTTTGGGCGCTTTCTTCCGCTCCTTTCCCGTGAACGGGTCGTTCACTCGGTCAGCGGTTAGCGACGCGTCGGGTGTGAAATCTCCCGCCGCTGGCTTCTACACAAGTAGGTGTTTTAAAATAATATCCTTTAGTGTTATATAAGGTAATATGGGTAAAAGAAAAACTACCCGTTAGCTAATAACACTGCCGCGTAGATAAAATTACGGTCAGCGATGCGTCGGGCTTCAGATCTCCTACTGCCCGCTTCTACACTAGTGAGTATATTAAATTGATATATTATTTCTAGAATAATGGATTATATCATTTAGTGTTGGGGTAGTATGGGCAAAAGAAACAATACCCGTTAGCTAATAACATTGCCTTGTAGATAAAAGTGCGGTCAGCGACGCATCGGGCTTCAGATCTCCTGCCAGTGGCTTCTACACAAGTGAGTGTATTAAATTGATTTCTTATTTTGAGAAATCTAGATTAAATCCTTAAGTGTTGTGGTAATAGGGGGAAAAATCAACTACCCGTTAGTTATTACCATTACCACGTAGATGAAAGTGCGGTCAGCGACGCGTTGGGCTTGAGAACTTCTGCCGCGGGCTTCTACACAAGAGTGTTTTAAATTTCATAGATTTCTAATTTTCAGAATTCTGAATTAAAAAAAAAAACAGAAATTACTTTACTTGAGCGTGATCCGCGCTTTGTTATAAGAACTTTTGCTCCTGGTTTCTGTGGTTGCTAGAAATTAGATTTCCCCTTATCCGTACTTAATACTTCCATGTTGAACTGCAGTGAAAGTAAAAGCAATAAAAGCTCAACAACTTTCTCTTAAAGATAAACGTCTGTCAAACTTGAATAAAATTTATTCAGTTTAGTCTGTTACAAGCCATTCAGAAATTCTTAAAACTATGCTATCGGTTTACAAATCTACGGCGGGAGACTTTGTACTGAGAATAACCAGAAAGAAATGTAGCATACACAAGTAAAATCTATTGTGTATGCGTACATATATGCGTGATAGCCTCCATCGTTTCCATCAACTACATATATCTGATAGTAATATAATTGTAAATTATAATATTATTCCCCTAAATGCTTCATCCAATTTACCCACAATACCTTCCAATAATTTTAATCTCAGTTCTTTTATAAGACGCTTCTTACAAATGCATTCACCGACAAAATTGACAACATAAAAAAAGTAATGTTGTTCGCGAAGAATTGCGGCTGAAGCGATAAATCACATCCTAAAACGGATACAAATTTTTTTACGACTTTCTTGTTGCGAATTGCTTTGTAACATTCCGTTACATTTCCCCCTTATTATGTTTCGACAATTGTTGGGACGAGGAGCTCTAACTTTGTCAACGACGAGAGCTTGTTTCGCGTTTGATGATGTCTCGGGCAATTATCAAAGCAATTTTAACAGCCGAATCAAAGACGATGGTTTAAATCCAACAAACTTTGACACTTGAAGCTCGTCAATTTATCTTCTGATTAAGTTATTTACGCCCTTCAAGATTGTGGGTTCGCCGGTGTGTTGTTCACAAAGGTTATTGCAATGTTAAAGGAAGGCTTCATTGATTGTTTAAATTAATGCTTGGAGTTAAAGGTGTTTATTGTAAACTTTTGTACTGAAGTATATTGGATACACAGCGGGAACTAATTTGAAAGTGCCTTTACCACGATAACAGCTGTGGAAACAATATTACAAGTGCAATTCAATAATTGCAGTAACAATTTACTGTCGCGGTCAGCCGTGGTATATTCCCAGAATCAAAGTTCGACGTTCTGGCAGCTTTGACATCAAACTGTGCGTCTGTCGAAACTAAAATTTTGATATTTGTATTTGAAATACAGCAGCATTAACATAGAAGTAGCATAAAGTTAGTTTACCTAAGCTTACGGCCACGAATTTAAATGCCAGTTGATGAATTGCACGGTCGGACTGTATAGCTTAAATAATAGAAATCAAACATTAAAAAAAAAAATTAAGTACACACAAAGTTCTGTCGATTATGAGAATTTGTCACTCTACTATTAAGTTCCTATTTAAAGAGTCTCTTTACTAATTATGGCGATGAACTGGCAGGTAATTTCTTATTTATCTGATGTAAATTATCATTCGTATGTACACTACATCGAAATGAATTTTGTTAAAGAAAATAGCAACAGAGAAAAGCAAAAATACTAAAATTAAGTCAATATCTTAAGTTTGTTTGTAGATGTAACTTATCAACTCATGTACTGTTACAATAAAAGAAAACTGAGTAGACAACGAACTAGAGAATATAACTTTTTATTATGTAACAAAAGCCATTCTTAAAGACACTTACGAAGATTGAGAGAATACCAATTCTATATCGACACAAAAGAAAACACAAACTTACGATACCATATATTTTATATTTACTAAGGGATAGATATGGGAGGCATTATTCATTTTCGGTTTGAAATCAAACTTCCAAGAGGGTAACATAAGAAATGTTTCTGCTTTTATGTTACCGAGTGTTCCCCCACTCCGCTAATGCACAGAGAAGTTTAAAAGGTTTTCGTTGGCTTACAGACTACGTTCACATTATCTAAGTTTCTACACACGTGATTTTAAAACTAAGTAAGATGAAGAATCGCTAGCAAATTTTAGCAGAATAGGGAAGTAAGTATGCATTAAAAACCGGAAGTTTTATTTAAAATTATTTAATCTAAAAGATGTCAGTCTTTGTGAAGTCCAGGTGAGCTTCCAAAGTTAGATTAAATGACAGATTTGTAAATAACAATCGAAGTTTAAAAAATATAAATAAGCTGTATTAACACCAGTTTTGTAAAACCACGGTAAGACCTTAATACAAAGTGTAAACGTTTAAGTCATAAAATATGTGTTAAGCTTAGTGGTTTTAATATAACTCTTTTAAAGTTTACATCTGACCCACCTGATTTGCCAACCCCGATATTTTTGGATATATGTAGGTACTCCTGCAAAAGTATAACTATAGGACCCACCTTCCATGTTAGATTACTGCAAGCTTTTTTTAATAAAAAAAAAAACTGTTATCATCCCTTCTGGTATTACCTTCCCGTAACGGTCACTCTTTAAAACGAGAAGAAAATTCGCTAAGCTAATTTAATTTAAAAAAAGTTATCGCGTTATTCCATTCTAAGATTATAATGAGGAAAACCTGCAGAAGGGGTTTCGTAAGCTTCATAAGCCTTATTTATATGGCTATAATGACGTAGCGTTCGTCTCTTCGGGCTTATAAATCGTTTTTACGATTTTTTTTAATACTGTACCATTCTACCATAGTTATAGCGGGCAGTTTACAAAGCCACCAGCGATTAGATCACAAAAATCAGTTTAATAGTAGCAAAGACAAATGTTCGGGCATCGTATAAATCATTTTTCACGTACGCGGTAACAGCGAGATCCGTACTTTCGCTCCATAAATCTAAAGTTTGCCATACACCACCACCGCATTCAACTATTTGGTTTTAGTTTTTCGTGCGCCGTTAGTTGGAAATTTTTGTTGGTAAATGTATGATCATGGTGGATTGTCGTCAAACAATACCAATATAGTTTAAAGAGTGAATCGCAAGTTTATAGACAATTCACGAACCTATCGTTTCTAGTGTTATTAGTTAGGGCCCGCACTCATCATGAACACGGCAAGGCAATGAGTTTTTATGCGTCAAATTAACGGCAACGCTTTCGATGTTTATCACTAAAATTGGCGCCTTCTTGGCTGTCTCAGTACTTATCTCACGAGAAAAACATGCTAGACTACAGAAAACCGCCAGCTGCTAAATGTCTCGTGCATACAGCTAAATCCTAGTGTTATAGTTTTAATTTCGAAAAGTGTTAATTTTTGAATTTTCCTTGCGTGGTAGCAAAAGGTGTCATTGAGTGGTTCAATCTACTAATAATATAAGAGTAGGAGTAGGTCTGCCTGCACAGGTAGACTAATTAGTTCCCCGTACACCCTTTTAAGCCGATTCACTCATACCAGTAAAGTCAAAATTCCGGCAACCGTACAGGTCCGGGCACTCATTTCAGTAATTCTTCTTCTCTACGGATCTTGGAGAATTACGTGTTGATCAGCTATTTTTTTTATTGATTTCTGGGTTTGCTCTTTATCCCTAGCCAGCTCGTGACCAGAAATGGGATCTACGGTGTAGCCAGGTTACTCAGGGGCCCATTCACTCTGACTTTAAAAACCGTCGGATTGTATGTCACGAAATAGCCATTGTGCGGCTTTAGCTTAAACGTGTGAAAGGTATTGCTACGGTAATATCATTTAACAATTTATATGAAGACCTCCGTGTAGGCGTCGGCACCTCGGTCCGGGTGGGACTCCCGGGCGGGTCATTGTAGTGACTTTTGTATATATTATTATCTCGGGACTGAAAGCTTGCGTTGAATTGCCGTTATTATGGATCTCCATATTATAACTGTTAGCTGGTTAAACCAAAATGCTTAAGTTGGGTAATCTTATAAAGGAAAATTTCAGTATTGACTTCAGCGTGGTGTGTAATATTTTTCGACGATTTCGGCACGATAACATCGAAACAGCTTTTAACAACTCCACTATTGAATAAAATTATTTTCATTTCACAAGTACCTACCTCTATATTGCCAGCTCATCCATACAAATGATATTGTTCAGTAAGTTGTTTGATCGATGACGATTGTAGAGGTGCAGTTAAATTGTGTTGACAAGGCGAGTGCGCTAGTGTGTTAAAATCATTATTTGCTAAATCCGTAAAATATGCTACGGCCTTGAGATAACGACTGTAGGTGGTAGATTGTCTAGTTTTTCAATGAAACAGCTGTAGAATACTGTAATTGCCATAATATTGGCAACACTAGTACTTTGGTGTTTCCAATTTACCTGAATACGATTGTCTATGAAATTTGGACAAACGACTATGTATAAATTAACGCAGTATTCGGTTTCAGGTAGTTTTAGTTATGCTTACCCGACGCCGTCTTCTTGCCCGTGTTCCAGTAAAAACAATGTAAATATAACATCGGGTGCCCGAATTCGAGTAATGTCTTTCATGCACCCGAATACGGGTTAACGACCAAATGTAAATGCGCCATAACACATATTTAACTTAATTGCTATTTTGGAGCTAAAACCAATGTATTAGTAACCTCGAGTGCCGATTGTTCTTATATTCTTGTAATTTAATTGACGCTTTAACTAAACTGTTTTTTTTTGTTTCTAAACAACGAGGCTGCTTTAGGAGCTTAGTGGATTAGGGCTTCCGTCTGGAGAATAAACCTTTTTCCATTCTATATCTATTATTTATTGTGTTTCTGGTACTAGGAAAGGTTTCAGGAACTTCGCTTGGTATTGGATGAGAACATGCTAGGCAGCGTACAAGTGATGATCTGGATATAGATACATAAAAATATATACTTTTATCAAACATGCTTAGAAATTTGAGCATTATTTAGACAATCTTCTTAAAGGTAAATCGAAATTGCTATACCGGCCACAAACATGCGTACAGCGGCCGGCAAAAGTTGTATGAATATCCGTATTTGTCATGTTTTAGTGGCCAAATCAATTACTTACTTAGTAAACTCATATCTGTCGTGGCTCACATTTATACGTTCGTCCATCAATGTCTCTTTTGCAGGCCGCTGCAGTAATGTACTTATAAAATGCTAGTGCTACCATTCTTCCGTATAAAAAATGTAAAATCATAAGTTTATTTATTTTTTCGTTCTTCACTCTTTCAATTGTTTATTATAACAGGTTTAATAGTACTGCTAACACTGGCGCTGTTGACTCCGTACTTCTACTTTATCCCTCGTGCTGCTCTCGCTGCCGTGATCATCTGTGCTGTGTTGCATATGGTCGACATTGCTATTATCAAGAACTTATGGAAAACAAGTAGTAAGTGTTTCGTTTTCTACATACAAACAGATATAGTCCAGTCATTTACCTGCTAAAATTTCCGATCTGTATTTTAAGGTTTCGTGATTTGCGATCAGTACCCCAAGCACGAATAACTAACAAGAAAAAATTCATAAAGCCATCTCAAGGTTTCTATAAAAACTAATCAGCGCTTTTTACACAACGTTAGAACAAACTAGCTCTTTGCATAAAAACTTTAACGATGGCGACGAATACTTGCTCGGCAGTTGTTCGTGCTTGGGGTACTGTATACATTTTAAATTTTAATACATTAATTCGTAATAGATTATTAAGCTATGCATTCGTTATGTTCGCTTGTAAATTGATATATTCTTTTATTATGAATTCTGCAGCAGTAGGTACTGCCCGATGGCTTATTAATTAGATCACTATTTTTATAAATTATTTCAGTTAAAACGAATATGAAATTAACTTGGTAAAATGAACTTGTTTATTTATAAATATACATTAAATAGGCTAAAACTTAAAAAGTACTTCATGACTGAAATTTACAATACAAATTAGCATTTTTTTAATTATTTTCTTAAATTTTGTATTAAGTTTTATATTGGAAGAGAACGTACTTTCATACATTATACATATTCACTTATACCCGTTTTAATCGGAACGAAAATTACAACCAACAAATCCTGACATACTCAACAGTGTGTCGGTTCTAAATTATTCCGTCGAGATCTGAATTAATCTTTCGCCGTTGTACGCAGTTACCTCTTTAACTGCCACGGATTATGAGGCGTACGAGTTCATTATTAAGTAATTTATTAAATCCATAAACTTAAATTGTTTTTAAAATGTACTCTTTCTAAAGGTCTGTGATTTGGATAAGTTTAATATTTTTTAGGTAGATAGTGCATGTTACTGAAATCAGACTGAAAAATTATGAATTTGTAAGCTATGCAGAAACTCTTTTGAGTTTTTTTTTTGCAGTGAAAGGCTTTAAATTTATCAGACTGAGGTTCAATTTTACCTTTGCAAAAGTTCTCTTCCGACGCTCTAGCTTTCTCTGTTACCTAGAAATGTGTTCTTAAGAGTGAGATACTGTGCTGTGTCTTGTCTTTTTCTCTTATGGCGATGGTGCACAATTTATAACCGCAACTTTTAAGAAAAAGAGATAATTATTAAAAAGAAGCAGATTAGAAGACCGTCGGAGCAGTTAAAAGCGAATGTAGTAAAGAATTACCAATGATACTGGAGTAGGAGTACCTACTATGATATTGAATTTGCTTTTAGATTTTTACACATCTGGAAGTACAATTATAATTTATTCTAAAGACACCTTTCTGTAAAAAAAGTATTATGATCGGTCATTAAATAAAGCAGCATTCCTTATTTTAAGCAACTACGACAAGTGTGATGATAGGACCTTACCATCTCCGTCGCACATGTGCCAGTTATTGCTATTACGTCATGGCCTCTTAGCACCATCCTTCTTTTGTTTTTAGTAATTTCTTGTTACTCTCTTCCGCACTGTTTAAAATTTAAGTAGGGGTTTAATAAAAACTTAATTGTTGCTATAAAATTGTAATCTTCTAATTTGAGTAATAATATAGTATACTACCCTATAATTGATTCATTAATATTTTCATCATAGGACTAGATCTCATCCCATTGTTCGGTACATTCATCTGCTGCCTAGCGCTAGGCATCGAAGTGGGTCTGATCTGTGGAGTACTGGTCGATGTCTTACTACTTCTCTACTACCACTCGAGACCTCCACTGGATGTGCAATTCGTTGACGTGAGTATCCTAATCCAATTACGAATGTGAGTTTTATTGTTTGTTTATTACTTAATCACGCAAAAATAACTTAACAGATTTAGATGAAATTTGGCACAAACTGGAGTGAGACAAAGGATATTTTTTTTGCAAACAATATTGGGTTCCTGGGGTATTATCAAAACAGTAAAGTTAACGCGGACGAAGTCGCGGGCGGCTGTCAGTAATGATATATATTTATTTGTATAATATATAAATAACTATTTACATGGAATTATATTTACATTAGATAATATTGTCTGTACTGTTTATATGATAATCATTATTACACATTGAGCTAAAGAAAAAAAATCGTAGGCAAACGTAATGAGACTTTGTTTCAGGACCTACTATACTATAATCGAGGTATTCGAAATATTACGAAAAAAAAACTTTCCTGCTTTTAAAAGTTTTATTTTAACTTATTCGCGGTGACCTGTCAAGGAGACGATCGGCTACATTTAGATTTTTCCGAGCAGCTCTTTGATAGTTAGAAGTGCAATATTTACTACCGGATACAGTACCAGAAAGCACATTTTTTAACCAAATGAAGACGAAATTCTCAGTATATTTTTCAGCTGATAATCGTTTATTCATTGGCCACGGAATTTCCTTTTGACTTACCAATTTCGCAAGAAACGAGATCCAATCACACAGTGCCCGCTGCCAAAGCACAAGCGAATGTAAATTTATTGTATTATTGAATGGTTGTTGGCAACACAGCGTACTGTGTACGGCTAGTTCTGTTCGTGGCGCACACGGAATATTTGAGCGAATTGCCCGAACGATATTTCTGTGAAAATCCCTTTTCAACTTTGCATTAGTTTTCTTTGGGACTTTATCTTTTGATAGAAGCGCAGCGTTTGCTGCTTATAAGTGGCGCCAATATGTACTTTACCTTTAGTTGGAGTGAATTCTGTAAAGATAATAAAAGTATGGTTATCGGAGTTCTTACGGAGAGAAGTAAAGCTGTCTTTTTTCAGTATATTTACCAAAATACAAAGGAATTTGTAAAGGATTTAAGATAAGTTGATTTGCTCCCACAGAAGGAAGGTTAATTTGCCATTAGATTTCATTTGCTTAATTATATTAAAATCTTAGGGGACATGCATATTGTACTTGCATGCTTCAGCACAAAACTGGTTCTGGAGAAAAATAAAGCAGATTTATTATTATTTATTAAATACATACCTGAAAAATTGAGCCCAGACAAGCAAAGCACCCTTTTTTCAGTATATTTACAAAAATACGACTAAACTACAGCACACTTTTAATTTGATAAATTTCGTTGTCTTATTTCGAATTTGAAATCGTTGAAATTACTCAACGGAGTAAATTTGCGGCAATTTAATATTTTAACTACAATAAGTGGGATAGTAGTGAGAACAGCAAAAAATTGCAATTCCCTTGCACTTACGGCGCTATGGTGATTTCCTAATTCCCACTGCAGTATAGTGCCGTTCCTCTTCTGTTTCAATTTCTCACTTCACCTCATTTAGAATCCTTGTAACTATTTATATTCTCAACGTTTTTCTTTAAATTTCAGTTTCCATGCAACACAATTTGCTTTTCGTAATAAATAAATTGAGGTAACTGCTATTGGAAAAGTAGCAAATATTTGTCCTCTTAAATTAGTTCTTGCTATTAGGATAGCGGAGGGTATGGGTTCGAGTCCCGTCTGCTGCCTGGTTCGTGTGGATTTTTTTCTAATAAAGTTTTCTTTAGATTTAACCATCTAATACTTAAATTCTATAATATATAATTAGTTGAAAGAGTTTACAGCATGTGTATATTCTTGTAACACTGACTTACAATGCATGGATGTCCTGCTGGTTAGCTTTAATAAAAGAAAGGTCGACAACAAAAATTATTTTGGTAATTATTTTTAAGCATTTGACTGCTAGATAGCAGAAGATGCGGGTTCGAATCCCGTTTGAAACCTGGACCGAGTGGATTTTTTTTACTAATATTTTCTTTACAACAAATTTTATATTTTTTACATAAAATCTGTGTCTTGCAGAATAACGATTCGCCACCTCACTATGCCATACATCCAGTGGGCGGTCTCCATTTCGCTGGCGCCGAGACTGTTCGGAACAAACTTTCCTCACTTAGGAGTCCAAGAAACAAAATAAACAGACCTGTCACATTGACAGTAGTACCCGGAAATCCTAACGGTGGCATCAGTTTTGTGGAAAACGGTGATGCCATTAACGATAATGGCAGAACAGAAGATACTCAAGTCGCAAATTCATCGAATGTTTTAGTGGTCCACTGTGACGCTTTGTATCGGATGGACTACACATTTTTACAGGTTAGTAGTTACTACTTACTATGGATCTTTTTGAAAGGAAATAAGGCAAAGCGGAGAGGTTGTTAGAATTGAGGAACCCAAGCAATAAAATAAACAGACCTGTTAGACTGAAAGTGATATCGAGAAATCCTAATAGTGGCATTAGTTTTGTTGAAAACGGTGATGTCGTTAACGATGGTGGAAGAATCGAAGATACTCAAGTCGCAAATTCATCGAACGTTTTAGTGGTAATTTTTGCAGGTTAGAAGTTTCTATAGATCTTTTTAAAGGGAAATAAGGAAGAATTGTCGTTAGAGTTGCGATGAGAAATAGGGCACAGCGCGGTTGTTGTTAGAATTGAAATGAAATTCGTAACCTTGCAGAAGAAAATGGACAAATTCTGTGTTCAGAACATATTTCTATCAAATCTCTTTTCAAAGCTATTTTCTTAAATAAATTTAAGTTAAATGTAATTCCTGACCGGAGCAATTTACAAGGCTATAAGAATCTACATACCTCCTTATTACATATTTTTTTATAAAAACAATATAAAAGAAAAACAATTTCATATCAAACAATTACATAAATTTTGTACATTGTAGCTCTATTCCCAATTCAATGCAATAAAGACAGTAGATTAGACTCATTCTCCAACATTCCTAATAGTTTACAAGTATAAAGCAAAATTCGTTTATCGTGACACATTGAATAAACTAATCCATTCTCCTAATTGACTCAAAGATTGACTTTGATGCTTATACACTATTCTGAATATTCATGGATCTAGGAGGTACGCTTTTGAATGTATATAAGCTTGGTTTCTCCGAATATTCTTAGGTAAGCGTTGCTGATCAATGCGACTATTGACCACTATTTGAATTCTATGCTTCCACGTACTTTGGCATCCATACGGCATTATAAAATAGACGGCGCAGTAGAGCATGAGATATGAGTTGGCCTGCATTCTATATGACGCCATTCCCTAATGAAATTCAGACTGAATCCCTTTTTAATTCATTTTAACCGGGAATAGGATAAGAATTTTGATAATTAACTATGAAACTATCAAAGTTTACTTATAATTATTAATTTAGGACTTTCGTGCGTCTTAAGCTAAGAGTTGGCTGGATTTCGATAAGACGGCATTTGTAAGCTATTTCTTAGTGAAATTCATAATTAATCATTTTGTAATTTATATTTGACCAGCAATGGGATTAGAATTTCGAATGAATTTGATAGTTAATTTATAATTATTGATTTCAGACTTGTACGTCGAAGTTTTTGTTTATGCTTTAAAAAGAAAATTTTAAATAATTAAGTTTTATTAAAAATGCTAATAGCTAAGTGTCGCCGCACACCTGCCACCGACCACAACCACAAAACGCCGCCACCGGCATATTTCTTGTAGTTTTCATACATTTTATATGGACTCGCCACACAAGGTACGCCGGTGGCCGCCACACGCTACAAATCGTCGTTGCTCGCTTCTTGTGGCCCGCACCGGCCACTTAATGCGCCGATGCAAGACGCCGCCACACGTCAATCGCGCAAATCCCCACCCCTCTCTACCTTATCTTAGTCGGCCGCTGTCGCACGCTTCAGCTACTTAAGTAGCCGCTTCTAGCTTCTCGTGGCGGCGTTTGTGGCTGTGGTGTGTGGCCCATGTGCGACGACACTAAGTCCTAGATGGAATGGCAATGTTACCACACAATGTATTACTAACTATTTAGTAACAGGTATTACTAAATAATGTTTATGCATAGTATTTAATGATCTATTAACGCCAAAGTCTATATTTATTGTATTTATATTACGAAGTTTAATCGTTTCATGAATGCTTATAGATCTTAGAATAGCTCAAGAGTTCTAAGCCTTTATTTTAGTCTTTGCCAAAGAACACTTAGTCTGAGTTTAATTCATTTAACCCACCTTTCTAAATGCTGACTTTAATCTCTCCGATAATACTTTATCCATACCAGGCATTATTCAGCAACCTTTACAACTTTTGTGTTCAGGAATTGAACCCAATTTCCGTTGTTTATAATCAATATTACGAGAACGGGGAATGAATTATGTATACATTTAATATTCGCTGACCGCAGGCCGCAGCTTCAAATCACATGCAATGTTGACGGGGACACCGCAGCGTTAGTAGAAATATCTATTTGGCAACCATTTAAGGTCTACGGTAAATGTTCGGTGAATACTGGGAAAGTCATAATTAAGTATTATTTTCTTTGAGCTTTTCAAAACTTGAGAAACAAGCTACTACTACTAGCTACTGGATGAGGAAATTGCAAGTCTTCCAGACTGAGAGGCTTTTTCCAACAATGGAAGTTCATTAGTTGATGAGCATCATCGGCTTTATGCTTATTTTCTTTTATTCCATTATTTACAGTACCTGTACATACCTAAATTACGGATATAACTTTAATGCGTATGAATCGAATAATTATAGTTTTATTGTGTTAGTTCTTTTAATAAATAGTATTATTTGTCTCTTACGTAGAAACAGTTTGCATATGAGGTTCGCAGTTTGCACATATGTTATGCTGCAAACAATGTTTACGTAAAAAAATAACTTTTAAATCGATTTGTTTTAGATTCTATACTATTGCTAGTGTAATAAAATAATTTAAGTTTTTCCTAATGGACCATATATTTTAATAGTATTTTATTTATTTTCTGCTAGTAGTTAGTGAATACATAGTATAGTAAAAAAATTTTTAAACAAAAAATAAATCCGACTTCAAAATCGAAAGTGGAACTAAAACGTAAAAAAATTAATATCTGGTTCATCATTTGGATGACGGTTTTATTTTTTGTTTAAACATTTTTAGTCTTTCCATTTTAGTGAAAATTACATCGTCCAAGTAAATAACAATCAATAAAAAGAATTTAGGAAATCGGTTCACAATTGATGGAGAAATCGGTGAGCATGCATAAAATTTGAAGGTTTCCCTCGATTTCCCCGGATTCCATCGTCAGATCCTGACTTGGTTCCAACGGGGCCACGGCGGAAGTGCACTCTTTCGCATAAAAAAAAAATCGGTCCACAATTGACGGAGAAATCGGTGAACATATATAAAAAAATATACAGTCGTACACAGAACCTCCTCCTTTTTTGAAGTCTCTTAAAAATATAAAATATGTTACAGTCCAAACTAGAAATCGAATATTAGGCAAAAACTGTTATGACTAACTAATTAAGTAATGTCCATTTTGAATTGTGGAAATATTTTCATTCATATATCTTAGCTTGATGATATAGTTTGTAGCAAAGAAGCAAAGAGTTAGTAGTAAGTAAGTAGAATATCCAAAACGCGTCATGAAATAAGTTCAAAGTCATCAGCCCTTAGCTTACAATCTTTTACCCCGGCCTTTGAAAAACTTTTACAAAATGTTCAAAACTAGCACATTTACGTTTCCCTTTTGCCTCTCTGTCCACTGTTAGATACATTTTCCTAAAATTGAATTTGACATACATAATGAAAGATAGACAGAATGGTGTTGGCAAATGTCACCAGTAAAAGCCTTTAATTTAATGAGGTGTACACGTGGCTTTCACAATAGGATTAACCTGCCTGTCGCCACGTCCAGCCAGCCTTATGCGAATAACGTGGACGTCATAATTATTAACATTTTTGCCGTGAAACCACCGACCAGAGCAAACATGGGCCTGTTATTTTACGGTCGAGCCGAATGTGTTTTCGTTCCATTTGGCTCCCGAAGTCGGGTGCGCGTCCCGAATCCTTTAAAGCATAATTAATTGACTTGAAAAAGGATTCTTTTTGGGGCACGCCAAAACATCTGTGATCATTGTGCCCTTACATTCATATGGCGGATGTTTGGGATCTTCTTTTCAGTGTCAGATCTTTGATTAAATTACTTTCAAAAAGATGTTATCGCCTCTTTGAGTTGTTTCTGCGGCGAATAGATTAAGTTCGCTTCACAATATTAGGAGAGGTGAATCGTTAAATCCGATCAGTACAGTTTACTTTTCAAAGTTTTGTCGTATATAAAACCCTTTTACATATCCTAACCAACGATATTAAATAACCTAAATACACCAACATGAACAAAATCGTGCCCGAAATCGTATACAAAACCCTTTTACATATCCTAACCAACGATATTAAAAACCCTAGATACACCAACACCCACAACACAAAATCGTGCCCGAGACCTATCCAAAAGGTACATTTGACGATCCACGAAGCTCCGTAAAGTGATCGCGTTGACAAAAACAATATAAGGAATTAGTGAAACATTGAAAGACACCCTAATTGCACACTGTTTAAGGTCTTAATTAAAACGTATGCGTCAAAGAGTTATGACAGTTCGATATGCAAGCTCGTTAAATTTTACGACTTATTGCCTTAAGCTAATGAATATAGACCTTATTCCTTTGACGCTACACGCAATTCTGAATGCGCTATTAGCAATATAAGAGGTACGGACCGCGAGGAAAAGAGACGGCTATATAACCGACCATGCACTTGAATATCACAAATATTTTCTATTAAATCAGTTTATAGTAAGTATTAGAACAAAATTTACTTCAAACGCAGGTATCTAATCAATGTAATGTCGAAAAAACGTCACTTTACATGCTACAAGTATTTTTTCGCATTATTTCACAGAGCTCTGCAGCACGTTGACTTTTCAACGGTCTGCGCGTGACTGTGAACCAAGAAGTGCTTGAGTGGAGTTCAAGCACTTCTTGATTGGGACACATTTTGAGCGGATGTGGTGTATCTAGGGTATTCAATATCGTTGATCCTAACCCAGTATTACAGTACCTAGATTTATAATGTTAAGAAACAACCTACTTTTGTAGACAGGTCGGTGTAGGTATCAGAAGCACTCAGTCTCAAAAGAAGCTTTTAAACAAATTGGTTTACACTGTAATTTACTAAAAGCTGTTTTGTAATGTTCTATCATAATTATGATTAATTTGAAGACCTGGGGGTCAATTGCCCAACCGGAATTCTAAGGCTATCGCTATCGCTTACGATTTCTATCATTCTGATAGAAGTATTACAATTAAAAAGATTAAGATTAAATTTCCTGTTACTTTTCAGAGCATTAAAATGTTAGTCACCGAATGGTCTCGTACCGGTCGGGTGATATGGTGCAACGCGAAGCCCGTGGTCAAGACGCAGTTGGACAGCGTCATCCAAGACCCTATTTATTGTGATTCCGACCAGCTCAGGAGATTCCTAGCAGGTATGTTGAACTTTATAAGTTATGAATTATTATATTAAATTGTTGGTAGTTTTATGAAATAACTTTACTAGTTTTAAATATTTCATTGTCTCTCAATTAAATTATATATTTACAGTTAGAAAAATTAACAATGCAAGAATTCTACTAAGTATTTAGGGATGTTTAGATGAATGGCAACATAAATTAAAAATATTTTATTTTTAAAATGATTACATTTTTATATAAAGTTATTAGTAATCGACCATTTGCTCCTTACTTGCCTGATTCTAGTTACGTACCTACTGACTAATCTTAAAACATAACGAAAATACTTATAAGTATGTATAAAAAATTATCAAACATACAAACAACTTTTTTTAACTCAACTCAATGAAGTTAGATGCAGGTATTAAGTTTTCACTGTTTCACTAAGCAAACTGAAAGTGCGGCAACTGAAATTAACTACAGTCACAAGTCACCTTTGTTAACAATGCAACCCAAGAGCTGCATACGTACTCACTTAGCTCTAGGGTGACTGGCGGAACTGTACTTCAAGCACAGTCAAGCAAGTCAGTTATTTCGCACTCGGGCGATTTATTAGAATCTTGAATCTCAAGCAAGTAAAATATTGGCTACATCAAGGTTTTTCTTTAATTTCTAAGGATTAGTTACTCTTAAGATTTTATGTCTATCAAACAATTGATTTAGGCATTGGTAGGGAATTGAAAAGCGATACTAAGCATTTATAATTTAAAAGTGTATATTGCGTACTTTTAAAGCATGAATTAAGCGTTACAGTTCACCCTTATAGAAGGATAACTTGGCAAACGACCGACGCGAGACGGCCAGGGGCGTATTTTGAAATCTGGTGCCCCGGGCTACTTACGATTTGCAACTCCCCCTATAATAAATAAATCATATCAAAATATAGGTTAGTAATGCTTGCCTTTATATGGCTTCTGCCGCCTGTTAGTCCTAGAGTAAATACTCCCCTGCAGAGGGCTCTATTTGTCGTTTTGTCATCTCCTTCAAACCTGAAGAAAATCGTCAAAGTGACGTAACTATTATTATCGCTTTCGAAGCTTCCCCAACCATGAAATCACGGAAAGCGAAAAAGTTACACAACTTGGCATCGGGATAGTTGATGCTAATTAGCTGGGCTGTTGGTAGCTACGTGTCAGTTGTGCCGTCAAAGTGTGCAGCAGCGATACGAACAAATATAATAGGACACTTCATTAGTCGCGTCAGTCGGTGGCGTCACGGCTGCTTCTGTTTCGAACTGTACCTTCAATGTTAAAGGTAATCGGTTATTAGAGCCAGTGCCGGCTTTTGGAATAGAGCGAGAAAGCGGTCACTAAGCGTCAGATGCAAAAGGCGACAAAAATTTAAATGCGATAAAAATTGCAAAAATGTAAATCTTTTGGGGTAGGCAAAAAAACACGTTAAAACGGCCTCACGCAAACTCGGAGTCATGAACAAGGTGCGGTGTTTTTCCACGCCCGAGCAACTGTGCTTCTTGTATGCGACGAGGAGGTGAATATTTAAACACCTCGAGCCTGTTCAATTACGCCGTGACATGGCGTCAATAAGCACTTTCTATCATCTGTACCATGGCGAGTGTTCTGAGGAGTTTTTATTCCACCTTCCCCTTTCCTTCAGAGGATCACGCGCGCTGACCTACGTTGTTACCGACTAACTGTGGCCACTATTCCAACGCGTACAAAGAAGTTTGGTGACTCATTTCTTTGTCGCACTATCCGTGAATGCTCTGCCCGCTCACGTGATCCCTCCCTCCTACATCCTGGGATCCTTTAAAAGAGGCGTGAAGAAGCAACATGCAGGCCGGCAGGGTGAGGATGGCTGGTGTGGCAGGTAGAACTGCTGTATCAGCTATCTTCGCGTCTGGACTTCACCATCACTTAACATCAGGTGGGGTTAAGTTATGACTTAACCCCACCTGATGTTAAGTGATATGTCGAACCTATCAATAAAAAAAAATAATGGACTAGCATTCTTTTTTAGAAGGTATTCTTTTTTCCTCAACTTCATGTTAATTACAATACAACGTTATCTAAGAATATTGCTTCCATAGCGTGTGCGTTGAGTCCGTGACAAGTCTTCGGCAGACAATTTTGTATTATAATACGTGGACTAAAGTCCTCCGCGGACAAGAGTCAAAATTCAAACTTCTAATCCAATTTTATCTATAACGTGATCTATTGCGTTGAAAAATAGGTCAAATTACAAAGATTCTTGGCCCATATTAATACTGTTTCCTTGTTATTAGAAGGTCGTAATTACTAAGCCTTAATTGGATAAACAACATAAAATTTTAAGTCAACCCCGTGGGCTGAATCGGTATTAGTCGGTTGCCGGATGGCACTAATGAGCGATGACCTTAAACGTGTAGCACTTAGGTAATATCAATTAGTGCGCGCTCTTTAGAGACTACTTCTACAAAGTTTGTTTCATCGTAACTGTCGCTGATGTTATTACAATGTGAAGGCACTGTCTAAAGTGATCTGGTAAGGTCGCAAGCGCGTAAAGACTAGGAAGACTAGTTTATTAAATTATTATTTTAAGCATTAAACTACTAGATATATAAATCAAAAGAATAATTAGTAGAAAATAAAATCATTCGATCCTGTCTTATGCCAGCAGTGCTATTCTGTAAGGTACAAACTCACTCTTCATTGCGGCATCCGCGGTGTAATTTAAAATTTATTTGAAATTCGTAAATAATTTCAAATGACCGCGTTGCCGCGGTGAAAAGTTATTTCTTTCTAGAAAATCTAAGGAACTAGCTAGACTAGCCTTTTGCCGTAGGTACAGAAGTAATTTAGCTGTGCTGTAACTGCCTAGATTGATTAAACGATTTTGCGTTTATCAATATCAAAAAAGGAGAACGTGTATTTTGTCCATTTGTATTGTTGATGAATATTCCATTATTAACGATTCAAAAGAGCTTAAACAAGTCGACTTGAATTTTTTTTTTATTTCATTTGGAATATAGATCTTATAATGACTACAATTTTGTTACAGGAGTGTCCGTCGTGAACGACCCTGCTGCCATCGGTGATACCCAGCTTTAGTTTAAATAGTATTTGTAAATTGTTACTATTAAAGGGTTGCTATAAGTATTACCAGACAAAACACCATGGCGTGTGTGTCGCTAAGATAATTTTCTCTTTGCAACGGGGTAACAATTTTATTAAGTGCTGCAAAGGAACATTAGTTGTAAATGTCAAGTTTCAATCTTCCGGAAAACTGATATACTTATCTATAAGTTAATTCGTCTTAATGTCTCTGCCACGTTTTTGCAGATAACTAAGTATATTATAATAAGTACATAAGATGTACTCTTTTAGTTTCTATAGAGCATTCCGACTTATTTATTTTCATAAGAATTCAAATTCTGTATTGATTGTTGTTTGTTGTTGAAATAACAAATAAAATACAGAATAAATGTGTGTTTTTAAGTTGTAACGCTAAAATTATAATTAATTTCTGAAAACATGAAAGCAAGAGTGAACCGGTTTTTATTAGGTAAGCGCGCTCCATCGTAGACCATAATATTGCTTTCCATCAGGCGAATTATGGTCAAGCGCTTACCTATTACCGAATAAAAAAAAAAACATAAATAAATACTTTAACTACAGTTTGATTGATTTGCAAGTTGTAATTGCTTACAATATTATTGTCACTTTAATATTGTAAACAGTTGCGAGTCCCTAAATTACACTGCTTAAAGTATTGTCGTATTGAAAAATTAATTTTATTGGTAATAGTATTATTTATAATAGCACAATATTGACCATCAATCAAATGCATATAACATTTTTATATACATTTTATCCCCTTTTCTATGCAGAAAATAGAGACCGTGCTCCGACCTAAATTGTTAATTAAAACAGTAAAACTTGATGTTGTAAATGACAATTAATTTCAATGTGTAAAAGATACTGATAAATGTAATTTTATTATGATATTTTTATTTTAAGTATTTAACTGCTAGATGATAAATCTAAAGAAAATTTTACTAGAAAAAAACACTCGGTAAAGGTTTCAAATGGAATTTCAATTCGTATCTTCCGCTATCCGGGCAAACGTACTATCCAATTAATCACCTATGCTACCAATACTTTAATGGCCGCGACGAATTTCCTGAAGTATTTCCGCCCGGATAGCGGAAGATGCGGGTTCGAATCCCGACTGAAACCAGGACCGAGTGGAATGTGTTATAGTAAAATCTTCTGTAATTTCATTAGTTTATTGATACAATTAGAGGGTAAGACAAACATCTCAAATAGCTGTGATTAAATCATAGTAGGCAAACCCATTGAGGTAAGCCTAATATGTAATAATTAATTATTTTTTTGATAATTGTGTGATAAAATAGCCCTAAGGGCTTCATACGGGTGAAAAATTATAATAATTATGATACTAAAGAAGTATAATTATTAATAAATAAAATAGACGACATCTGAAACAAACCGAAGCGTTTTTTTGCCAATTCAAGGCGTACCCCGGTCGTCCCTATATACTGTGAAAAATGAGTAAGGAACATAGAGAAAATTTAGTAGCGAAGTCAGACAACGATTCAGGTCCACTTGTAACACCAATTTAGCTAATTGGCAATATAACTAAAACTAGATTTCATGTCAAATTGAAATTGATGTTTTGACATTTTTCTATGGGTCATTCAGTTGAATTGAGAAATAGGAAATTTTCTGCAAGTGGGCTCTAAGTAGGTAAGTTATAATTATGAGAAAAAAGCTATTATTTTTTATGTGAAGAAGCCGTGAGAGTCGACATAGTAATATTCAAATCATTCTGTAATTTTTTGCGTGTATATGCACACTGTTGCATTTGTATGCCCAATTCGTCTCTAACCCATGCCCTCCTGGCCGCGTCGGCCCTATTGCTCTATTCATAGTTATGATATCAGAACATTAGACAGAGTGGGGTATTTAGCTGTGTGACTCGTATGAAGAATAGTAGATGGCCTAACAATCGTTCTAATTGCGATCGTACAAATTAAAAAAAAATCTTAATAGTCGTGAGTGAGTCATCCTTAAAGCGTCGTTCTGCTTGAATGCGAATGCGTGATCTTTGCTAGTTCTCCCTAACTTTGTTCATACAAATTAAATAAGATCAAGTGAACGTCAATTGAAATATTAATGGGTAACATGTTTGATTGCGGTTTCGAACGATGAAAATTCCACGATTCGCGTTTAGTTAAGATGCCTTTCCAGAACAACCGATCACGAGCCGAGCCATTTGAATGTTGCTATAATGATAAATTATTATCATGATTTTCTATGACACTAAAGGTTTTTTTTTACAATTCTATTGATTTTATATTATTGGACTTCATAAATCATCTTATATTGAATTCATTTTCCAACTTGACGACTTTGTTTAAAATAATACAGACAGAAAATAAAACCCGACCAAGTGCGAGTCGGACTCGCGCACCGAGGGTTCCGTACAAACCTGAATTTTCGAAAATATGGTTTATTATATGTTGTAACTAAAAATTTACAATTTTCGCAGTTTTTCCTTTATCTGTACTATAAGACGTTACTTCGTACCAAGTTTCAAGATTCTAAGTTCACGGGAAGTACCCTGTAAGTTTTGATTCCCGTGCGAGTTTCGAAAATTTGTGGAAATTTGCGGCATGAACGGCTGTATCTTTTGATTGTTGATTTTTTCACAGCTCCAAGGAACAGTAGATCTGAGTATTAGATACGAATTTCTATTTGATACCTCCACACGTTCCTGAGAAAAACGGTCTTGAGAGACGGACGGGCGGACAATAAAGTGATCCTATAAGGGGTCCGTTTTTTCTTTTTGTGGTACGGAACCCTAAAATCAACCCTTGCTGAGTTTCTTGCCGGTTATTTTTAGTACAAGGTCGCCCGCCGCACAATCACGAATATTAACTGCAAACTAAATATGTGCTATAACACATAGCCTAAACTGAATAAACAATCTTTGATTGTTAATAAACATTTATCAACATTTCCGACTCTAACATGCAGATTATTTTAAAATGGTGGTAGTTTTGGATTTCCAATTCTAGATTTCAATCTATTGAGATTTTTTTAGTAACATGGTGTGTTTGGGTTTGGGTGTCTGTACTCTGTACATATACGGATCGTGTTAAATTATGGTTTTATTTTCACTAAGCATTCTTGTTTCATTTCGGACCAAGTAACCGTTATAAATGTTAGCTAAAGTTATCAAAGACCCTAATTTGTACTCTGGAGCTGCATTGTTCTATTTATAATACCCATTGTCTTTACGAATCGGTATTGTTATCCCGATCTCTATAGTAACCATCGATAAAATTGGTATTGGTCTCGCTATTGTGAAATTTAATGCGTATTGCGGTATGTTAAGCAAATAGTTGATAAATTGCAATCATAAATAATAATCGGTTAGGTACTTTCATGTGTGTGGCGGCGACATCTATATGCCCCACATATTATACAACGGATGGAGGAAATCATTACTCACCATCCTCAAGAGATGGCGTTACCTGCACTGCGATCTTAATAGTATGGAAGCCTACATCGCGCAAATGAAATTCGGAAGCTAACTCTTCATATATACGATGCCCGACTAATATCAGTCGGGCCGCGGCCCCCGAGCTAACATCACCCAGCTCGGAGGAAGATCTTCCCCTTTGGCCTTCCTACATGTGTATTAAAATGTGATTATGTATTTATCAATTAAACCATGTTCGTTTTGATTGAGGAGTTATTTCATTATGATAGCGTTGTAGATGGCTTATAAGTAACTATATGATAGAGATTTCCATACTGGTTTATGCAGGATATGTAGTAGTAATTACATATTGTTTTAAACTTTCATGGTCACTAACATTATAGCTATTAACAGGATTGTTACCATGTACCTTTTTTTATGAGTCTCCGATATTTCGGCACTGTTGCAAGCGCCATGATCACGGAGTAACTGAGGTAATTGCGGGCAGACGTTATTGGCCGACATATCGGTCTACCCTCTGAAGTCGTCTTTTACTGCGCTCGATACCCCTACCATTGGTGACATTCTCACTATTCACTCGCACCTGTTCCCGACACACAATACTCACAGTATCAGATCGCGGAACGACACTTTTTTGATTTTTGCAACTCAGCCATCGCAGGCAGTTAAGATTACTCTGCACTCTTTTTTCCATTATTTCCAACCTTCATTCTCCAGAGTACTTGAAATGCAAGTTTCAGTACCTATCTCTGTGATAGTCAAGATCGTTCTCTCCGCTCTGCTGATTCATTAGCTCTCTAGATTCAGATCAGACTTCACATCAGGCAGATATCTCCCTGAAACTGTGCTGTCGTCTGCATACCCAAAGATACCGGGAGTTAGGAGCAGATCATTGATGTGCAGCAAGAATAGAGTTGCGGAGAGGACAGATCCCTGGGGGATACTGGCATTAATACCAAGCAGATCCGACGATGTGCCATTAATGACCACTCGTATCGATCTGCCCTTCAGAAAATCTGCAATCCAGTTGCAAAGTCCGACAGCGATTCCATATGAAGGAAGCTTGCCAATGAGACTTGCATGCCAGACCCTGTCAAAAGCCTTAGAAATATCAAGAGAAACGGCGAGAGCTTCGCCGCGTTTCTCTATGGCTTCACTCCATAAGTGGGTAGCATACACAAGAAGATCCCCAGTAGATCGCCCACGGCGGAAACCGAATTGGCAGTCACTGAGGAGATCTTTATCTTCGAGGTAAGCGAGGAGACGGTTGTTCAATACACGCTCCATAATCTTACAGAGTATGGAGGTGATTGCAATAGGTCGATAGTTGGCAGGGTCGGCACGACTACCCTTTTTGGGCACTGGTTGGACATTGGCAAGCTTCCAGGTTTTCGGAACTTGGCCAATCTTAAGGGATAAGCGATATAGGCGAGTCAGAATAGGAGACAACTCAGGGGCACAATTCCGCAGGACAATAGCTGGAATGCCATCGGGCCCACTGGCTTTATTCACGTCTAGAGTGCTTAGCGTTTTGAGTACCTCTTTCTGATGGATGCGAACTTCCAACATGGCAGAAGAACACTGAGGAAGCTTAGGTGGGTTTACGCCAGCAGCATCAAGCTGTGAGTTGTTCGCAAATATAGAGGCAAACAAGTCAGCCTTCTCTTTGGAGGTGTGAGCCAGCGATCCGTCAGGCTTAATTAAAGGCGGCAGCGACGACCGGCAAAAATTGGCTTCGACTGTTTTGGCTAGGGACCAGAAAGCCTTGCTTTCGGATGGAAAGGAGGCTAATTTGGCTCCTATACGGCCAATGTGATCGAAGCGGGCCTTGCGGAGAACACCTTTACAGGACTTGGCGGCACTGTTAAAGGCCTTCTTCAGACTTCGAACATTTGGTGATTTGCGGGCACGAGCATCCGCCCAGGAGCGATACGCAAAATGCTTAAGCGCCTCCGCTTTAGCACAGTCCGCGTCAAACCAAGGGCGGGCGCTAAACCGGCGTGGTTCGTCAGAATATGGAATAAAGTACTCCATAGCCTGACACATCACGTCAGCAATGGCATCCGCGCAGCAAGTCGGGTCGTCCGAAGAAAAGCAAGTGCGACGCCAAGGATAAGATGCAAAGAAATGGCGCATCTCATCCCAGTCTGCTGAACCATATCGCCAAACACGCCTAGTTCCGATAGGTTCCGGGTCGCTTGGAGAGTAGACTGATACGGACTTCACCAGACAGTGGTCGGAACTCCCTAGAGGAGACGAAATTACCACCTGGTAACGGTCCGGGTCTGTTGACAGCAGAAGGTCGTTTGGTCGTTGAGTTTGGTGTGTGGCCATCAATATCGGGTACACGTGTGGCTTTACAATCGTCTTTAATTCAGAACCGACTTGGTCAACCCCGACACGCCGTGGTCTTGGTTTACCCTACAGCTAGAGTGTTTTTAAAGCCTGGAGGCGCGGAGGGAGAGCAGCGCCGCCTGCTGTGACAAAGCTGCAAGCATAGTGCGACCCGTAGCGCCTGAAGCTGGTCGCCGCCGAAGGTGGCGAAGTGGAGTGATGCTTGTGATTTTGTCACGCAAAGGCGGAGGGGCTGCTATTCTTGCAGCGCCGGAGATAAGGCAAAAGTACTGGTTCTTAGTTCCCTAGTCCTTGCATCCTAAAAAGTAGGGAACCATAAATTCTGAACATTTAACAGATTTATTGAATTTTTTCAAGCAAACTGCATATAATAGTTTCACTATAGACTATAGTTTCTAAATGTAGCCTTTCGTAAATTGATGGAAGTAAAACCGAAGACTGATTATTTAAATTTTAAAAATGAATATAAATTTTAAAATTTAAAAATAGCCTATAATTGATTTCATTACTTTTAATGCTTAGTCTATCTAACTAAGTATTCATTTGATAGTATTAAATATGCTTCACATCACTCTGCCCGCTCTTATTTGGCATTATTCGTATTGCCCGGGCATTATGAATA